GGGTGGATGGACGCTGAAGGGCCCGCCACACAAGTGGCGATACGCAGTCCTTGCTCCTCAAGAGTCGACTGGTGCGGCGGAAAGTGTCAGTGCACTCGCCGCGCTTGAGCCTGATGCACTCCTTAGGGTGTTGCAGGACAAGCTACTCACGAGCGAAGCGTTTCGTGCGTGGTTGGCAGCCGTCACGCAGGTCTTGCCGCTTGGGTACGCCGTGGAGGCGCGCAGATTCCGTCCCGGACTTGATTACACTCTCGCGTACTCTGAGGATAAGGAGGCCAGGTTGGATGTTGTGCTCGGGTTAACGCCACAACTGGAGAAGGACAAGGACAAGTCGGAAACTCAGAATGACGAAGATGAGGACGAGGAAGAAGCTGAGGAGGGTTGGGAGAGTGGTGAATGGGGCGGCTGGGAGTGCTACATGGCGCCGCACGGCGAGGAGGATGATCCCGCAGTGTACCGGTCGGGCGGGGGAAAGAAGGCAAATGGTGCCAATGGTGACAGTGACAATAAGGATGCTGGGCCCTCGGCGCCCGCAGATGACGAGGACGCTGAGATGGATGACGAGGAAGAGGAGGAGGATAACGGCACGCTTCTTGTCGCACAACCCCGCTTCAACAGCCTACAGCTCGTGCTACGCGACAGCGGGTTGATGCACTTCGTGAAGTATGTCTCCGCGGCGGCGCAGGGGTCGAGGTGGGACGTGTGTGGAGAGTATCAGATTGGCATTGTTGAGGTACGCCGACGCTCTCCACGTTTGCCCAGATTACTGAATCTTGACCCTACCAGGAGGACGACGATGAGGACGAGTAAAGGATAGCACTGCTATCTCCATCTTTGTAAAACTGTATTGCCTCTGAGTCTCTATCTGTCTCACACCATTGTAGCTCTTTCACTGATGCTTCATCCAATCATTGTACGATGCGGTTCTTTGATGAGCGAGCGGGAATCGCCATGATCGCCGGAGAGTCGTCTCGCCCGCAGTTATTCAATGCTCGTTTCACAATGCAACTGGTCACTGGCTCTACAGGTGAACGTGTCGTTACCCTGTAACCCAATGTACGACCTGCAATAGTCCTGAACTGCCATTCTCAAAATATCAACCCGTCCCAGAACACCGCCACACTCAAGCTTTGGTCAGAGCTTTAGCGCCCGGTTACTACTCCACCGAAACGACAAACCGGTTCACTGCCGCAGGACCCTTTTCATCGTACGGTTTCGCCGGCTCGCTACCAGATCATGCCTTCCGGTCACCGGTCACCTCGCACACCTCTGTAACCCTGGAGGAACCCCCTTGCACTGAACAAGATGGCCGCGAATGCGAACTACCTGGATCTTGCATTGAACCAGTCACAATTGACTTTCTGCATGCATGCAATGGTAAGGTTACCGTGATACTGATAGCGTCTGATACATATGCTAAAGCTTAACATGGTTATCATGACAGGGATCGACGCTCCTCTTAGACTGCGCTGAATTCACCATACGTCGCTGATACGTCGCATCGGCTAGTTCCATACGTGTCCGAGGCTCCGAACAAGAACCGTGCTGTGCCGGTATGGAGTCCCACGTCAATAAGTCAACGCTTCACACAGCTACTTCTGGCGCTATGGTCATCGCGCGGTACGGCTTCCACGGCGCTGCGAGTGATGGATTGACGTCGGGCCTGTCCCTCGGTACAGAACGTTCGCCGTGCTTCGAAGGGGCGGCCTCGTCAGAATGTGTATCTGATCCGTCCAAGGATCGCTACAGCTGCGAGGGAGCTTGGGAGGCCACGTTGCGCAGGCCGCGTTCATACCGTGGTAAAGACGCTGGACCCGCGGCGCCCCAGCGCATTTTGACGCTCTAGTCTGCATCAACTTGCATCGGCACATACCACAGCCAGACGGGTACCGAACTTTGGACCTGTCGGATGCGAAGATTAACGCCGACTGCGTCCTGAGGGCCCTTTGATGCCGATTCACTATGCGCTGATGTGTCGTGTACCTCTGTTTGCATGCCCCTCGTTGCAAGTCCCACCCAGCGGCGCGCCGCCCGCTCAAGCGATTGCGTCTCAAGATTGAAGCAGATCCGGATGGAGCACCGTGTGCAAGCGCTTGGAGGTAGATTGCTCGTGCGGGCATAAATTTATCCAGAGCAGGCTTAAAAGCCGGACCTGTACGCACTGTCGTGTCCCCTCATTTCCCTTCTTCGACTGTCGCTTATGTCTGTCATACAGAAGTCCGACCTCGTCTCTGCCGAGGTTGAGGAGTACGCACCTTTGGATTGGAGCATCACTGAGATTCGCGCTGCCATCCCCAAGCATCTTTTCGAGCGGCATCTGGGCCGGGCACTCTACTATCTGGCTCGAGACCTCGTCGTCGCTTCGTCCTTCTGGTATCTCGCGACTTGGATAGACTCTCCTCAGCTCATGCATGTCGTGACATCCTACGGCGTCCCTGCTGTGACCCTTCCGTCGATTCGTTGGCCCTTGTGGCTTGTTTAGTGCGCCCTGTCGATCCATCATCTCGGCGACTAAAGTACTGATCCGTTCTCTTCCAGCTGGTGGTTCCAGGGTCTTGCTTTTACTGGCATCTGGGTGATAGGACACGAAGTGCGTTCTGATTCTGTATTTGGCTGAACGGGTGTATGCTCACAAATGACTATGGGATACAGTGTGGTCACGGAGCCTTCTCGTCGTACCCTTGGATAAACGACTTTGTAGGCTACATCACACACACTGCTCTTTGGACGCCGTACTTCAGCTGGAGAATCTCTCACCACCGCCATCACCAACATCATGCATCCATGGAAAAGGACGAAGTGTACGTGTACAACATTCACGACTCTGGTTATCGGCTGGAGACTAGCTCGCTTACTCTAACTAGCTACATTCCTGCTACGCGCTCCGAGTTAGGTCTACCTCAAGAACCGCACGGACACGGCGGGGTTGACTACGACGAGATCCTTGGGGACACGCCGGTCT